TTCGCGTTTAAGTTTATATGTACAATTTTTTTCATTTTTTACTACTTGAAAAATTAATTCACAATTCAAAAGAAACAAGAAAATTCTGAAAACGCGGGAAAAATTTACCAAAAAAATTGTAAACAAACTGATCGGCTGAATAATAATAATAATAAATAAAAAAAGTGCTGTTAAAAAAACATGCAATAAATGGCTCCAAAAACTAGACAAACCACTAAAAAACTCATCGGAGGTTCAAAATGCGATTTTCCTGTAAGCGATTTACCAACTTATAGAGACATTTATAGATACTTTTATTTCGTACAATCCGAGTTAAAAAATAAATCAAACATAATTGATAAAACCCAACAAGAACTTGTGAAAATTTGATTAAAAGTAAATCCAAAATTGCCCTTGATAAAAAGTGAGTCAATTTATTTAAAATTGGTCGAAACATTTAACACAATGAAACTTATTAATGGAAAAAAGTGCAAAAAACCTCAAGTTGCAGCATATAATGCGTTGGAAAATCTTTATGATATATCTACCTGTAGATGCAATTTAGGCGAAGTTCCCTGCTATGATGATAGGGTCAAATGCAAATATCTAACCTGCAATAATAAACATTTAGTATGTGTTTGTCCTCCAGAGTGCAAGGTTAGTTAAGAATTTAACTTTTTCTACAGTTTTTTTGAACTTTCTTCACAAGAGTTTATCTACTTATTTATCATTTATTTATCATGTTTTTTTTTTAATTAAATATATGATATTTTATTTAAATTTGCTTAGATTCCGCTGGAGGAACGAGAATACATCAAAGACCAAAGATCAAGAAATGGCACAAAAGGAAACATTTAGTTAGGGGCAGTAGATTGGAGCACTTTAAAAAAAAAAAAAGAAGAGTAGAAAAGTGTTCTAATGTTAAAGTACCCTCATGTGATAATGGCGAATCATCTTTTGATAAAAATTTGGAGTCTGATAAAGTAAGAATAAGAACAAGTTTATAGTTTTCTCATTCAAACGATATATATATATATATATATATATATATATATATATATATATATATATATATATATATATATATATATATATATATATATATATATATATATATATATATATATATATATATATATATATATATATATATATATATATATATATATATATATATATATATATATATATATATATATATATATATATATATATATATATATATATATATGTATATATATATATATATATATATATATATATATATATATATATATATATATATATATATATATATATATATATATATATAATATATATATTATATATATATATATATATATATATATATATATATATATATATAAATATATAAAGTTGAATGCTTTAATATATAAAAATATTAAATTTTAGGAATCATCATCAGATTCAGAATATAATGAGTCAACTGCTATTTCAACATATAATTTAAGAAAGCTGGATAACTTTGCTTTAGAGTGTGTTCGGTTAGTAACTTTTAGTTTAAGTAGTTGTTTATTATTACATAATACGTATTTGTGTTGTTTATTTAGTTTTTGAAGTTTTCTTTTATATTTGTTCTCCTTAAAATTTCTAATTATTCAGGAATTTTCCAAATAAAAAGTGTTTTTAAAAAAATAATAAGAATAAAAATAATTTTCCAAATTAAAAATTTTTTCTACAAGAAATACAATGGAAAGACTTGAAAATGCTGTTTTTATGGATGTGTTAGCAATTTATATTTGAACTTGGTTATAATCTACTCTATTATGTTTTCGCATAAAATTGTTTATTTTATTGTAAATTTTTAGGTATGCGACATCGAGTGAAGCTGCTGCAGCTCTTGGTAATGGACTTTTAAAAGATCTTGGAGTTATTACTAAAACTGATAAAACTGATGTTTTAGATAACAGTAAAATAGATCGAGCTAAAAAAAGGGTTTGTCTTCAGTCTGTTGCTGAACACAACATCATAGTGCAAAATCTATCATGTAATGGATGTGACAGTAAGGATGATAAAGGTAGCCTGGTTTATAGAAGTATGTTGCCAGATAGTATTAGCAAAAAAAATAAATTAAGTGAAAAGGTTTATCATCTAAGTTTTACAGTAGAATCGGGAGAAATGAAAGGTAGATATCTCACACACAAAGATATTTTAAATGCCACAGGAGAAAATTTAGCGCAGTCTACTTTTGAAGTGTTAAAACAATACAACAGTGTTGATTCTTTGTTAGGAATTGTTTTTGACAATACAAATGTCACTACTGTATATAAAACTGGCCTTTGTGCCAGCCTTGAAAGAAAACTTGGCAGAACAATTCATAAAATTGGCTGTGCACTTCGAAGCAACGAGTTACCTTTGCGCCATATTATAGAACAGCTAGATGGCGGTACAAACACTCCGCAAACATTTTGTGGTGAAATTGGAAAAGCACAAGACCTTCATCATAAACCCATTGCCAAATTCGAACTTGTTTTGACTTCTTTAGTTTTTCCAGAAAATAGTGTGATCAATGACTTAAGTTCTGATCAAAGGTTATTGCTGGAATATGTGTGTGGTATAAGTTCAGGTAAGCATATTTTAAAAATACATAACATAAAAATTAATCTACTTAATGTATTTAATTACAGGCGTTTACTCCTATTATAATTTATTGCTATAAAAGAACATTTAAACCTATTTAAATTTAGGTGTTGTAAATCCAGTTTACGCTCATTATAAAATTGGTCTAGTTAATCATGCTAGATGGCTGACATTAGTAATACGTATTTTAGTTTTGTATTCAAGAACAGAACAACTTACTCCTGTCCTTAAAGAGGTGGTAAATGACATACAGACAGAGTAAGGCCCCACAGGGTTTGCTATTAAGAAATCAAAGGACTTTACTGAAGGGCCAAAAATTTTATACACAACATTAAAAAATATAAAAAATTTTAGCCAAATTATACAAGACATTATACTACCTGTTGTTTTAAGAAATGCGTATTGTCTTCTTCCAGAAAACTTTCTTTTATCCTTTTTTGTTGATGATTTGAAAGAAATACGAAACAGAGCAGATAGGCTTATTTTAAAATGTCGAGATAATCCTCCGGCTGCCCCAGTTGATAGAATATATGGTGGTATCAGAATTAACAAAATCCCAAATATTGAAAATCTTGAAAATGAATGTGACACATGAGCAGATCTGCTTTCTGATGATAAACTGATCTATGAACCTCCTGCTACTAAGAACCTGACTTATCTGGAACTACTCAATACAATTGAATGTAAACCAGATCCTTGTGAGCTTGGTTGAGACTTTCTGCTACATAGTCAGTCTGTTGAGCGTGCTGTAAAGCTTGTTTCTGAGGTTTCAAAAAAAGCCTATTCTTAACAGAATAGACATGGTTTAGCAGTAGGGAAGCAAAAAAGTCGAATATCAAGAAAAAAGTTTTATTCAAAAAAAGATTACGATATATAGTATCAATTGTTTTTAATTTTCTCAACACTCCAATGCTATAATTTATAGTATTATAACAAATTTTAAAGTTAATTAAATAATTAAATTTTTTGTCATAATTAAATTTTTTGTCTATGTTTAAAGTCTATATATTTATAACCAAAATATAATTGAAATATTTATTAGTTGCTAATTTTTTTAACTATTGTTAAATTATACTTAGGAAGCTAAGGCCGTGCTCTACTTGGTATATGAAACGATTGCACTGGATCTGAGAATATTTTGAAAACTAATTATTTTTTTCAATCTAAAAACAAACTCTTTTGTTTAGCTGTAACGTTGTATAATGAGTGTTAAATTTGAATTTTATAATACCTAAGTTAAACAAAAAATTAATCCCTCTTTGTTTGATAATCTTCGAGTATTTAAAAAACTAAAAAAAAAATTAAAAATTATTAAAAAAAAGTTTAATTACTTTTTCAAAAACGCAGCTACTTTTTTGCTACTTTTTTTCACAAGTTCATACAACAGTGACAGATCCAGGGGAATGGAAAGATGCATAAACAACCGGAATTTCTTAGAAATAGAGGACCTATTTTTTTTAGGAGACTTAAATCTCATACAAAATACAAAAATAAATTCACCCCCCCCCCCCAACAAAAATTTTTGGATTTGTCACTGTCATGCAACCCTGTAAAATTCAACCTCAACTTGTATTTAAACTGTTTTATAACTAAAAATAGTATATAGTTAAAGGCTGCAAAGTAAGACCGGGAATGCCACAGTTTTGATTATTTAAAAAAAAAATTGAAGAATTATCTCATAACGTATGGTTTGCAGTTTTTAAGTGTAAAGTTAGGGGTAACTGAAATTATTATGGTTTGCAGTTTTTAAGTGTAAAGTTAGGGGTAACGGAAATTTTCGGTAATGATTTTGCTAATTTATAGCGACACAGCAACATTCGTACTGTAAATGGAAGCAAGAGATCTAAATAATCGGAAAATATAAAATTACTTTTTTTGGATTACACTCTTCAATTGTTGCATAGATTTTTAGTAAAATTGACGTTTTTACTGAATTTTTCTTTTCATTTGCGAAAAATTTGGCTTGCATAGAAAAAAAAAGCAAGATTGTTCTTAATTCCTGACATGATTTCCCAGCTATCTGAGGGCACAGCAAGTTAAAATTTTGAAAAAAGTACAAAATCGACCTCCATTAATACACATGTTTGATTGTAAATTATTTAAATTTTTTTTTAAACGTTTTTGTACTCAATTGGTTAGTTATTTATAATAAACTTAGTTATTTTAAATAAATTTTTTTAGTTAAGTGCATTTAACGTTGTTAAGATAACAAATTTTCTTTTCTAAAGAAAAATTTAACCTGAGACGGGATACCAAAAGTTAATAACTACTGTATAATAAAATATAAGTTAACTTAATGATATTCTTAATAAATATTTAAGGTTTATGTTATAAAAAATTATTACAAGAACTTAGTTGATATTTAAAAACAATGGCGAAGTGTTATTACTTTTGTGTTGAACTTAGAAATGTCGATAAAAATGGTTATGCCTTACACTGATATAACCTATGTCAGTTGTAAATGACTCCAATGCGTTAAATAATATTTGGTAAACCAATTTACCTCAATACGGACATCAAGAGACGCAAAAAGTGTCGCAGAGTTTAGGAAGAAACATTGAAACTTGAAACAAAATATGGTACAAATATAAACCTTTTATTTGCAAATGTTTTGTTTAAGGTGATAAAATAGGCTCGGTTTAAGATATTGAAGCAGGCTGAGATAGTACTTAAAATGTTTGAGCAATTTGTAGTTTCAATTTCATCAACTTAGCAAATATCAAGTGGGAACAAACCAGAGTTTAAAATCCAGCAAATATTTGCGTTCCTGTAAATGCGTCATCAGAGCTAAAAAATTTTCCTTGTAGTTGAATGTATTTTTCTTATATTATGAATTTTTGTTGTTGAATTATTTACCAGCATAAAATTCTGTAATTGCGCCAAACTTATTTAACATGGCAATACACATCTACGTCTCACGGTTGAAGTATGTGGGACGAAAGAGCCGGTAATTATATCAGCCTAAAATTATTGTTAAATACGTACGGTATAGCAAGTAAAACGTGTCACGTGTCCGCCTTAAACTAAAATGTGATTACCTGTAATTAAAAAAAAAATATTTGATTAATTGATTAAACTACTCCATATAAGTAAACCAAATTAATTACCTGGACTTATTTTGATTGCTGGTATGAATACTTTACTGAGCCATTGAATAAATTGTTCTCTTACATCGAATCCGACTTGGATGTTGTAAAATCGGTATTTAGTAGCCTCTCTACACACCAGTGTTTGTACAGATGTGATAGTGATTTGTAAACTACTAATGGTGGCAGAATGGTACCGGTAGCGTTGACACAATTTCCGACACTTGAAATTATTTTTTTCTTTGTTACCAACTAGTTTTAAAGGGCGTTTAGAACTGAGCCTGTATATTGATGTATCTACTAAGCCTAAATCTTACTTAGTTAATGTGCACGCTCCGTTAACGGAGTAGTTATATCCTGTTAACGGACTGTTACGGCTGTAACAGTCTTTTAATTGTTTAGTTATGTTATTAATGTTATTAATTGGTATTAGTTTATAATATTATTTAGTTCAGCCTGATCTTTAGCAGCAAAGTAAAACTCATTTTGATATGCAGTGTCTGTTTCATTACAGTTCTCTGTTTCATCAATTTATCAACTAATGATTTTAACAACAACAGCTTTTGATGCTAATATATGTAAATTTTTTTTTTAAAATTATTAGTTGGTAAATTAAGGAAACAGAGAACTGTAATGAAACAGACACTGCATATCAAAATGAGTTTTCCTATACTCCTAAAGATCAGGCTGAAGCAATTACTGCTCATTATGAGCCATCGCCTATTAACGAAAGCCAAGATAAAATTACAGAAAAATCAAAAGTTCAATTGTTCCAAAATCATTCAAATTGTTAATGAAATCTCATCAAAGTTAATATAATACAATATAATACAAAATAAAATTTGTTAAAAGCTTAAAGGAAAAACACTTATCCAAAAATTTACAGCCTGGACTTCATCTGTTTATAAAATGGGGTACAATGAAAATATTGGTAACCCCTCAAGTCTGTTTAAGTCAAATAATGTAATATTCTAAAATTGTTTGCTATATTACAAAAGATTATAATCTTAAAATTAAAAGTATTGCAAAATATAAACTTTTGTATCCAATGTCTCCACATTCGCTGGTTTGTACATTGATGTTGATTATCCTTAATGCAAGTCAAGATAAAATTGAAAAATGAAATTGTCATGGAACGGGTATTTTTTTAATAAAATTCTCTTTAATTATAGAAACAGCTTAGAGTTGTGAAAAGATAACCAAAAATAACTTAGAGTTGTGGAAAGATATCCAAAAAAAAAGAAGGTCTAATTAAAACTAATAACAAGTATTACTATCAAATACAACAACAAATGATGGTAACGAAAACAAAATATTATCTGTTGAAGTAATGGAAACATGACAAATGATAAACTCTGTATCTTAAAAAACAAACTTAAAACAGTTTTTTAAGAAATTACATTTAAAAAATTGTAACAAGAAATTTGAATCCAAATCAACTACAGCTGTTCTGCATGTGTAAATTTTGATTGTCCCATCAAATGGTTTCATTACCTCTGTCTTCAAAAAAAAAAGGTTTTTTTCTACCTGGATTTTGCAACAAAAGAGAAAACATAATAAGCTTTTGACTAACACTACTAAATAAACGTTAACTTCTTTTTAAATTAGAAAAAATATTTTAAGATTTATTAACAAACCATTTGACATAAAACATTTTATAAACATTAATAATATTTAAATTTTTTAAAATATTCTAGATAAAAATAATATATTATATATATATATATTATATATATATATATATATATATATATATATATATAAATATATATATATATATATAAATATATATATATATATATACATATATATATATATATATATATACATATATATATATTATATACATATATATATAATATACTTATATAGTATATACATATATATATAATACACTTACTATATATATATATATATATATATATATATATATATATATATATATATATATATATATATATATATATATATATATATATATATATATATATATATATATATATAGATATATATATATATACATATATATATATATATATATATATATATATATATATACATATATATATATATATATATACATATATATATATATATATATATATATATATACATATATATATATATACATATTATATATATACATATATATATATATATATATATATATATACATATATACATATACATATATATATATATATATACATATATATATATACATATATATATATACATATATATATAATATACTTATATAGTATATACATATATATATAATATACTTACTATATATATATATATATATATATATATATATATAATATATATATATATATATATATATATATATATATATATATATTTATATGTATATATAATTATATGTGTATATATATATATATAAATATATATATATATATATATATATATATATATATATATATATATATATATATGTATACATATATATATATGTATATATATATATATATAAATATATATATATATATATATATATGTATACATATATATATATATATATATATATGTATATATATATATATATGTATATATATATATATATATATATATATATATATATATATATATATATATATATATATATATAACATACTAAATTTATATATATGTATATATATATATATATATATATATATATATATATATATATATATATATATATATATATATATATACTATATATATATATTAATTATATATACTTAATATATTACACTATATATATTAAGTAAATATACTCAATATATATATATATATATATATATATATATATATATATATATACATATATATATATATAATATATATATATATATATATATATATATATATATATATATATATATATATGAATATATACACATATATATATATATATATATATATATATATATATATATATATATATTATATATATATATATATATATATATATATATATATATATATATATATATATATATATATATATATATAGTAAGTATAGTATATATATATATATATATATATATATATATATATATATATATATATATATATATATATATATATATATATATATATATATATATATATATATATATATACATATATATATACATACATACATATATATAAATATCAAGTATATTATATATATATATATATATATATATATATATATATATATATATATATATATATATATATATATATATATATATATATATATATATATATCTTAATATACATTTAAGTAAAGATTATTATCAGGGATGATTTGATGACAAAGGAAAAGAAATGAAAACTTATATTTTGAGAAAATAACTGCACTGTTTTGGAATTACGCAGGATCTGAAACAAAATTTTAACATGTTTTACCTGTCGTTTTTTGCGCGTGCGCTTAAAAAATGTAAACAAAGCAACCCGTCTTTGCAATTATGAAAAAATAAAAATTTAAACAAAGTATTTTTAGTTATAATATTTTAATGCCATTTGTAACAGTTGCAAACAAAAAAGCATTTCGCAAACAGTTGCAAAAAAAATAGCATTTGCAATAGGCGTTTTTTAATTTTTAATAATTCACTTTCTCTTTGTATAAACCTTTTTTCATTTTTTAACTCAAGTCAATATTAAGTTTAATAGCTGAAGTTTTTATCTGATTTAAAGAAATGTCTTATTACGAAACTCTGGATCCACCTATTAAAAGCAGATATGTTCAAAAACTTTTTCTTGTTCAATAGCTGTTCGGATAGTGAATTTAAAAACAGTGAAGAAACATTTTTAGATGTAACCTACGATGACATTGTAAATTATTTTGCATTCTCACTTAGTATTTATGCTGCTGAGGATATGAAAATTTTATTTCATTGTAAAGGGAAAGGTAATTTTTGGTAAAGCATATAGCATATAATATATGTATATGTATATATATATATATATATATATATATATATATATATATATATATATATATATATATATTTATATATATATATATATATATAATTTTATTTAATTGTATATGTTATAATTGATACGTGTGTTTATAATGCTATTTAACACCATCCAAGTAATGCTGTTGACATTTGTGAAACTAATGTGTTATAATTATCACTATTATCATTTAACTGATTTTTAGTACATATTTATGTATTTTATGCTATTGTTTCGCAGTGGAAGCTATTAAAGTTCCACCACTTATATGGAACCATCAGGCCGTAATAGTCTTAAGAGAAGTAAGAAATATTTTATGTAAGTGCAAGGATATGCTAGATAAACTATAATATTTAGACAGATGTCCAGTATTGAGAAGTTGTGATTAGAAGGGGAGTATTATTTAGTGATTGCGTTTGAGTTAAGTGAATGTTGGTAAAGTTCGATTTAAGTAAGTGTTGATTCAGCGCTTAGCAAGTTTTTGTGTTTGTGTTTGTAATGTCCTTAACATGAAAGCCCTATGTGTCATTTAATGTCTTTTCTTGTATGAATTTGGGTGTTCGTCAATAATTTAATTCTCAGTGTTGTTTACTTCTAACGTTATTAAGTTCTTTTTAAATATAAGTTTTATAACTTGAAGAATTAAGTATAATCACTAATGGAAAATATTTAGCCGTATCTGCCTTAGAGGAGAAGTGATTGATTATATTACAAACTATTATTGTTTTACTTTAACTCCAACTTTTGTTATTGTTTTTACTTGATTCCAACTCTTATTATTGTTTTTACTTAATTTCAGTTTCATTTAACTTAGTACAGGTTCGATTGTAATTCATACCGTTTCGTGCAGTTGATCGTTTTATTGAGTTCGTTTTATAAAGATGTGCAACCTTATGATGGAAATATTCGTTTTAAATTTAGTTTATATTCTCAAAAAATGATACCCATAATAGGTTTGTTTATTTTAATGTAACCTGAACACTTCCAGCTTCAGATAAAAAATATGAAACCTTTAATCAAACCTATAAGAATTTATAAGATAAACATATAAAAAACCAAAACAATTATTAACATTTGCCATCGTTGTTGTGGTAAGCATAATGTGATACACAATTAACATAATATGACTAAATTACTTGATTCATTAGACATTGAGTACAACAAAAAAATTATATGGATTCTGTGATCTGATGTGGTTCATAATATTGTTTCTTGTGATTTGATGTGTTTTATAAAATTGTTCAAAAAGGTCATATTGACATGGCTAGGTAGAGCTTTTCGTGTTATATTTAATTTATATTTAGTCAATATGTTTCAATGCAGTACTTAGTTTTATATTTGTTTTTAAGACTAATTTTTGTGTATTTAAATGCAAACATATGGTGTAGTTATAAACTTAGTTTAATACATATGGTTATTAGAGAATAATTCTTTTCAAATTTAGTTCAATTTATACGATTATTGGTAGAATAATTCTTTTTAAATTTAGTTTCTACTTAGGTCAATTTATATGGTCTATTCAATATACTAATTTTATATTCAATTTATATTCAAATTAAAATATACGTTTAATTGTACTTATTTTTTTACTACTTAGTCTAAATTAATACGGTATATTATTTAGTTTAAATTAATACGGTATATTGAAAATATTTGTATTATATTAAATCTATTTTATTCTAGTTGTACTATTCTAGTGATGGTCCAAGTTTTGTCTGCGGTTGTTTTTTACGTATAATGCAATTTTTGTTTTAGCTCTTGTTTATATTTAAATTACGTTTGTATGGTGTGGTGCAGCTGTTTGTCACAATTTATCTTCTATATAATAAAGTTTAAAAAAAAATGTTTTGTAAAAATATTATTTATTTTACGTTTAATTTATTTTTAGATGGTATAATGAAATTATTCGTTTTATAAAAACATAACATTATAAGCTTACTATTTTACATATTGGACCCAGCACCGGTAGTGTTGTGACAAATAGCGACAACATAATATAATAAGGAAAGTACGCGCAAAAATACTTACAAAAAGAGTATGCTATTGTTTCGCAGTGAGAGCTATTACTTATATGGACCTATCCGACCGTAATAATCTTAAGAGAAGGAAGAAATGTAATATATAAGTGCAAGGGAGTGCTAGATAAATTATAAACCTTAGGCAGTTGCTCAGTATTGAGAGGTGGTGTTTAGGAGGGGAGTATTATTCAGGGAATATGTAAGAGCTAAGTGAGTGTTGTTTAAGTTAGAGTTGTTTCAGTTAGATGAGTGTTGTTTTCTATTTTAGGTAAGTGTTGTTGTAGTGTTCTGTAAGTTTGTATAAAATATTGTACTTCTTGTTTGCAGTGTTCTAAGTGTTAAAGTTTTGCGCGTCATTTAATGATTTTGTTTGTATGAATCAGTATATTCGTAAATACTTTGATTTTCTGTCTTATTAAGTTTTAGTATTTTTATGTTCTTTTTTATCGTAATCTTTCCTATTTATTTGTTTCGTCTCGTCTGTTATTATGGTTCTATTCTCTTTCCTTCACTGAATTTTCTTTTTCTTTTTTGTCTTTCTTATTACTTTGACGTCTTTCACTCTCTAGGCCTTTAATGTAATTTTGCTTTTTCAATTTGTGATTTCGTATTATCTACTGTAGTAATAGGTTGTTGGGTCTTATCCCCAGTGTATATTTATAATTAATACTGTTTTAGTAAAAATATTCGTTTTACCCATAAGTTTCTATTTAATAATTAATACCTATTTGGTGTACATATTCATTCTACTATAATACAAATAATACCTTTTTAGTATCCCTATTTGATTTACTCCCCGTTTCTAACTTATATTGCTTTAGTGAAGAATTAATTTTAGTGAAGAATTAATTTTAGCCTCATTTAGTATTTAAAAATTTAAAAAAAAAAAAAAAAAAATTAATATGTGGATTTTAGATTTCAAACAAAAATTGAGCAGGGAGGTGCTAAAATTACTTTATAAGATATGTTTTACAACATATGTTTTTAAGATAAAAGAGATTTTGAGGTTTGTGGCTAGTTTTGTAAGCACTATTTGGCGAGTGCAGTACAGTTATAGCGACACAATTCGGTTCACTGTTGCTGGGGTCGGGAAGTGTGTAACATATGTCCGATATGTATAAGGTATAACATATGTCCGATATGTATGTGGCTTAAGTGATTAAATGATTAAAATAGTCAATTACAACTAATTTAGTAGTTAAATGATTAAAATAGTCAATTACAAGTAATTTAGTAGTAAAAATCATTGTAATATAAAAGTAAACAAATCGCGGGGAAGGTGCCGCGCAAGTGGAGTTCGGGGTTGAGGTCATCATAATGGTCGAAAGTTGTGGTATGTGACAAACCTTCATCTTGTCAGGGCCATGTCGGAATGTCTAAGCTTGTTTCGAAAAAGTTAAAGTACTAAAACAACTCCATGGCCTACAGCTTATTTACCACGTGTGGTTTGGTATGTGATGAACTCACACCCGAGGAGTCTCCTATTTTATCTGGTGTGCGTTTTAAGTATTATAAGGTCATACAAAATTAGTGTAGATCAATATAATATTGTAGGTAAAATTAGTGTAGATCATTATAATATTGTATTTATAGTATTGTATAATATTGTAATATTGATAAACAATCTTAGGGGGATTGGGTACAGGAGGGTGGGTTCATGACTAGACGCATGTGTATATGTATATACACATATACAGAAACGTAGTGATACAAACATCCACATACCCGGTCCAAATATAAGTGCATATGTATATATAAATAGATATACATCCACTCAATTTTAAGGTGACCAAGTGAAGTTAAGGAGGGTTGAGTACGAGAGAATAGATTTAAACGTGGGTGTATGCACATACATTCACACGCCCAAATCAACATTCCCGTATGAGTATGCATTTATGTACACATTTATGTACACACATTTATCCATACAGCATCTAGGTTTTGAGGTGAAGTTAAAGGGTTGAGAATAAGGGTTTAAGTTCGTATATGGGTATAAATATATATATGTGCAAACACAGGTATGATCAACACATGAGACCAGCACATCAAGTACACACATATATATAATTATCAGATACGTCAGATTAAGGGAGGGGTTAAGTACGAGAGGATAATTTAGTTTGTATTTAATCCTACTAAATACTAATTACAATTAATTGAATAAAAAACTTCTTCTATAGATCGCTACCTTAATGCAGAACTATCCTAAGTATCTCAAGAATAATTTTTCAAAGGAGCAGTTGAAAGTTTTGTTTTTGTCATTATTTAAGTTAGGATGAAGATGTTTAAAATGAAATTAATTAAAAAAAAAAAAACTATTCGAGATGGGATATTTCTGCACACAATACATTCGTCTATGGCCGACATTTTCTCATAATTAACTCATTTTTACTAAATTTTGAACTTAGGATAGTTCTGCATAAAGGTAACGATATATTGTTATTAATTTTTCAATACAATATATCGAGGGAGTTTAGATACCCTCGTTATCAAATATATTTATACTTGATAACTCTATCAAGTCTATTTATTCTTGAAAACGAGAATAAATAAATCTAAACTCCCTCGAAATATTATTTTGAAAAGTTATTTATAGAGTTATACCATAGAAAAAGTTTTTTTTATTTTATTCTAAAAAAAATAAGCTCTTTAAAATACCATTTAAAGTTTGTAATAACTTATTTATTTTTTTCATTTTTTGATAAAATCAATTATTATAACAAAACAAACAAACAAAAATTAAAATATCAAAAGTGGGGCTACTACAAAACAAAACTTAATGTGTCTATTTTAAAGATAACAATGTTTTGTTTTGTTCTTTTATTTTCTTTTAATTCAGGAATTATTTGTTATGAGAAATTGTCTAAATAAATATCGAAAAATGATAAAGAAAAGTTTTTTTTTATTATTTTTCTTTTTTACGCGTCGTATATCATATTTTTTCTTTTTGCTGAACATTTATTATGGAAAAGTTAGATTAATAAAAATTTCTTAATCTTTCTAATTAGCGCTGATAGCTATCGAATGTAACCGTCGCACAGCGAATCGACTCATACAATCTAGCTGGACAAAAGTCAATTCAAGGAATCAATTAGTTAATAATCCCATGATATTACTGAATGGTCCTTTTTATCAAAAATTTAATTCAAATAATTGGCATAAGTGATATTCTGTAGATTTAAAAAAAGCTATGTCAGGGTTAACCCTAACCCTAACCGCTTACGCGTGAAATGGCTACAGCTTATGGCTTAACGCGTACGTAAATGGCGTGCCAATTTAGGCTTTTTTTAAAAAAAGCGTTTAATTTTATTGCTATTTAAATTTAATTTTCTCCCCTAATACATTTGTAAACTGATTTTCATGAAGCTAGGACTATTTACCTTCGTGAAGCCAATTCTTTTTGAAAGAGAGTTTATTATATCATTCTATAAGAAACCCAAAAAGTTACTGTCCCCAAATGCCTAATTTTGAAATAATGTGGCTTTAAAAAGCTCATTATATAGAAAAAATTAACGGCATAAAAATTTATACGACGTAAATTAACTGTCAATGTTTTGAGAGTTTTAAAAACTTATAGGTCCGAAATTTTTTTGATATTTACGTTTGGTTTTAAAATAATTACTAATTATGTTTTAAACAAATCTAATTATTTTACTAACGAAAAAACTTTTTCCCCCACTGATCATATTTGACCTTATTTTAAAACTTTTCTTAAATTTCTCTGTCGTGTAAAAGTCTTTTTTTTTTACACGACAGAGCAAACTTTTAGCAATTTTGAAAAAATATTTTCCATAAAATCAATTTTGACCTAATTTTAAGTTATACCTGATCACTGTGTAGCGTTCTAAAATCATCCATAATGGGTGATTTTAGAATTGAGAAGGTCACCAGGTATAATATAAAACCTGTATAGGTTTTATATTATACCTTGGGACATACCTAAGTAATATGGAATAATATAAAACCTCTATAGATTTTACATTATTCCATATTACTATTTTTTTATTGCAACATTACCTCCATTTTTTTATATTCAAAATTATTTATATATATTATTATTATATATATTTTAAAAATATATAGAAAATATGAACTTTTGAAACTTGACAACAAAAGAATGGTAACACGGAGTGTTCTAAAATCAACACAGTTAATCATAATGGCTGATTTGAGAACGCAAGTTTTTTTTTCGCTCCGACATAAATCTATTTAAAGTTGGCCCTAAATTCAAAAATGCGTAGCTTTCCTCAGATTTTTTTTTTTAATTTCTACCTACACTTTTATAATATGAAGAGAAACTTAAGGTGCAGTGGCTTCATTGCTTTTAAACCCTAGTTTAAAAATCATAAAACCAAAAGTGATTAATTTTTTTATTAATTATCAAAAAGTCAAAGGTTTGACGGAAAAGATGGACTCAATAAATAAAAATAATCAGATAAAAAAATTTACAGGCTTCTTTCTTATCCTATCAACATTACTATGTATAAAATTGAGCGATTGAAGGCAATCACTTTCGAGCAACAGTGTTTTTCTCTGAAACTGTCATTTTCAAGAGGATTTAGCTAATGATATCAATCTTAATTAAAAACTCAATTAGGTATTAAAATTATATCTGTGCTATCAAAATTTAAAAGAAAAAAAAAAAAAAATTATGGCACATAGTTTCATTCAGTGCCGTGGCAGAGAGGTCCCAAAAACCTGTCAAAACGGCACTTAAGGTTTTACATAAATAAGTTTTTTAGGTAAAATGAATATCATAGTTAAATATGAACTGTTCTGATAGGTCATTTGAAATTTTACTTCTTTCTTGATCGAGGCTCATAAAGTTTATATGAAATTTGATGAAAATGTGATATTTTGACAAATGTATTTAGTTTGTATGTATATAAACTAAATACATTGGGATTCTGTTGTAACAGAATCCCGATGGACATTTGTTTTAAAAAAGTTACGCTCTAAACGCCTTTTAAACAATTTAACGTAAAGAATGTTTAAAAAACGTTTAAAAGACATTTAGAACGTAATTTTTGAAAATAAATGCCCGTAGGTCAATTAGTAGGATTAAGAAACTTTTACAAAAAAATTTAACTAAATTCTAGTTAGCCTTAATGAGCTATATCTAAAGACGCCGTGTTCTTAAAATCTTGTAAAAAGTTTCTTTAAAATTAGAAAAAACCTGGCGCAAAAAAGTTATAAAGTCTGATGCTCTTGTTTGGACATAATACGCTGTCAAAATCATATGAATTCTAAATTTAAGAACTCGAATAATTTATAAATTCCCTTAACTACACTGAGTGAGCCATACTATCACTAGATGATTTTGTCAGACAAGAATTTTTTTTTTTTTGCAAACGCATTTTTCTGGTTGGGGGTAACATGCAAATATTTTCAACGGATAACGTGCGGAAGTAGGGTTAGGGATGCGAGTTAAGTAAATGCATCAACTGCTTAAAGGAGAACATGCAATGGAGTATTGCTGCATCGACTCGGGGTTTAGGTTATGGCAGCAATAAACCTATCGTGATAATACCATATAAATTTCAAATATTTTTCTGCATGATTTTTAACCAAAGTTTTCTCGTCTGACTTCACGCTAAAAACTCAAACGTATGTATAAAAATATTTATCACAACAGTGATAAATATTTTTATACATAATATAAATTTAATTAAAAGTTTCTATTTATAATAAGCAACCCTTAAAAATACACAAATAAATGATCTCGAAAAGAAGCAAATTAGAATTACATTTTTATCAATTGACAAACCTAAATAGAAACTTTTATTAAAAATGAATAAGAGAATTCAATTTAATTATATTATAGAACATACATTTTTTTAATATTAACTTTAAGTACAGATTGTTCTTTGAGCATAAGTAAACTAGTGCGGTTCTTAAGCTTTGTTGTTATGTTTTCATTATATTTTCAAAGTATTAAACGATTCTGCGAAATAAAGAGAAATTAATTTTTGCTCTTAAAGTTTAAATCTGATTTGCGTTATTTAAAAATGTCAGACGTTAGTTCAGAAATTAATATTTTTTATTCTTATAATTTTCTGTTGCAAATATATTCTTCAGCTTTTTTTTTATAGTCCTAATAATTTGGGAGCTTGGCATTGAGTGTGCTAGTTATATGGAATTACAAGCTTTTATTATAAATTAAATTTTAGCAATAAAAAATATATTTGTTTATATGCGAATGTCCCAGTTTTAAAGATTGATTATAAAAATGCCGTAAATTCTGGAAAAGGAGTTTAGTAAATTTCTAGAAGAAAACCAACAACAATAAAAACAAATACATTTACAATGCTTACAATAATTGTATACTAATATAAATATTATTCAAAAAAGTAATGAAAATCACAATAGTAACACCAACAATAATTAATAAAGGAAAAACAACAGTAATAATATTTATAACAGCGATAATAACGATCGTAATAACAATAATTATTATAATCCTTCTATTCCGTTTAGTGCTAAATGTAAACTTTTGTTTCATATGTACGTTTTTTACTTAGTAACTATAAAAAATTACCTGCATTTCAATTATCTAAAGTAAACAATTAAAATAATAATCACTTAACTAACTTTTATATTTACTTTATATTCTAAAGTAAAGTCAAAAAAAGGGTTAAGTATATAGTTTAACCTTTAAAAATGTATTTTATCATTTGAGTTATTGTTACTGTATACTAGGGTGCATTGGAATATACATAAATGACCCTTGAACACAAACAGGGTTCCAAATATTTTTAAAATATGTAAATATTTGCAATATAAAAGTTCTTCAGAAGCAAAATCGCTGTATAAAAAACAAACATTAGGGACACTGTAAATGTTGAAGGGTCTTGAGAAAAAAAAATTTTTTATACTATATTATTTTATTATATAGATATACAAATAAATGCAAGATAATATAAATGAGCCACTGCTAATTTTTTTGAAATCTGTTTATTATTGTTCGCTACATGGGCAAAAGTGGAGTCATTATTTGGAACACATAAGGCCGTAAACTACTAAGAATAATATAAAAAGGGTTATATTAGGGTAAGTGTTAAGCAAGTAATTATGAAAAATGTAAGACATATAAAAGCAGATTAAAAGCAGATATTAGGAGGTAGGAATGGAATACTTATGCGCATATCTGAAGGGAGATAATTTACAAAAATGATCTCCCTTCATCATCGGATGATCATGCTGTTATTTTTATACTTTGTTTAGCTACCAAAGTTAGATTAGATAGATTTATATAGATTAGGGAATAATCTACTGAACACATTTGTTTTTATAATTTAGGAATCGTTTGTCAAAAAATTAGTTGATTATGAGACAACAGATTCCGATTCAGAGGTTAGTTTATTGTTTAAATACTTGTATTTTTGTGGAATGAAAAAGTTTCTTGTCTTTAAAAAGATTTTAATTATAAAAACTTAACATTACTTTTTAGTTATGTAAATTGTCCCGTGTTTAATTTTGTTTTGTTTTTTCATTGCTACCTTATCATAAACTATAATCATTAATACTGGATATAAATCCTTAAAAACTATATAGGTGTCGGTTGCCCAAAATTCAAGTACAGATAACACCGATTATACAGATTCAGAGGTCAGTATTTCATTTTACTCTAACATAATTAAAAATATAAGGTCAAAATTAATTTTCTATTTTATAATTTACTGCATTTTGGGTTTTATATTTTTAATTCCCTTTTATTGGTGACTTTAATTTTGATTTTTATTTATTTATTTGCTGTTGTTCGTTTATCTTTTTTGAATTGTTCTTCACTCCTCTTAAACTATTTACTGCTTTAAGATGATCAATAATATAATATATATAATAACATGAGCGCATTAATAATTTATATTTTGTAGTCATTATATAACAGGCCCTTAATTAAAATTTTTGGAAAAAATTTATAAAACAATCCCACAATGCTGGATTTATTGGTTAGACCTTAGCTACTTAAAAAAAGAATTAAATTTGTTTAATTTAGGTTAAAATAGGTTTGGTATTATATATAATAATTGATTTAATAAATATTGGATATAAATCCTAATAAACTATTTAGGTATCAGTTTGCTCCAATTCAATAATCACAGATTATATAGACTCAGAGGTCAGTATTACATTTTACTTTAACATAATTAAAAATTTAAAATCAAAATTAAGTATTTAGCTCTTAACTATAATATGATTACATTATTTTCTATTTTATAATTTCCTGTATGAGTTTTGAATTTTTATTATTTGTAATAGTGATTTTTTTTCTTCTCAAAGTTACATCAACCTGGCTCTCAAAATTATCAAAATTAAAAAATTGAAATTAATATATTAACAATGTAGATAGAAATAATTGAGAAAAAAATAAATCAAAATAAGTAAATAGTTTTGCAATTGAAATCTATAGCCACATTATTTATAATTTATTTCCCAAAAATATAAAACTTATAGAAATAATTATGTTATTTAATAGTACAAAAAATCTTCATTTTTTGTTATTTAAAAGTGTTAACATATACATGGACATTTAAAGTGTTGAATTTAAACTAAATTATGCGTATTTTATCACAGATTTTTTTACTCTGGTTTGGTGAACCACTTTGAAGTCATAAAAAGACAAAAAAATTATAAATACTGTTTGTTTTTTAATTCGAAACACTTGTTGGCAGCTAAAACTTAGATAACATCATAGTTCAGTTCAAAATATAAAAATGTAAGATTTTGAAATAAAAAAAATTTTAAATTCAATTATTACGTTTAACTTTTAGAATCATAAAAGTAGTTACAAGTATTTAAAATTACTGAGTAAAACGTTGGGGAGTGATTTCAATTTTCTAAATTAAAAAAATACTTAAAGGGATTTATAAAACTTAACTAAATAAAAATATATTGAGAACTCAGTAAACCTTTTATTTGCAATTGTTTTTTTTTATTAATATGTAGCTGAAAATAAATATATTATATATTAGGTTAAAGAGAAAAACAAACACCTGCGTCCAAAAAGATTCTGCATTTTTTGCAAAAAGAGCTATTTTAAGCTGTCAAGACACCAGCAAAATAAACATAAAAACCAAATTGATGTAAAAGAGACCCTATTATTGCCAAAAAAGCAACGAGACAGAGTATTTGCTTTGTTGAGACGCAAGGAAATTGTAAACTACAACAGATTAGAAGCGTTAAAAGAAAACCCAAATTATCTATCCGAAAGGAAAACAAAGCATACGATAAACCTTACGAAGTGCAACAATTGCAAAATTGTAGTTGCAAGAAGAACATTTTATAGGCATAAAAAGCAATGCCAACTATCGAGCTATGAAGACATTCAGCATGAGCCATTAGCTCATTTAGAAACTTTAGAAAATTTCCAAATAGCTCAAACGTCCATTGAACTATTATTTAAAACAAAAATTTTGAACAGCTTCAGAAATGATAAGATCGGCAAATTGTGTAGAACGGACGCGACGATTATAGAAATTGGAATGCAACTTCTATTAAAAGTAAAGTCCAAACAAGAAAAAGAAATTGAAGTCTACAGAAGCGTAAGAAATGAGATGAGAAGATTATCTCATTTATATACTCTATTTTTGAAAGAAAATGATATAGAATGTAAATATAATAATTCTATGGATATGTTCGCAAGAAAAAATTTCAACATACTAGTCAGAGTCATCGAAATATTTACAAAGAAAGATTGCAATGATATAAAAGCAGGCCTAAAAATAAACCTTTACTACTTAATAAAAAAATGTACTAAGATGTTGGAAAACTTATATTACAGAAAAATGATGGACAATGACGCTAAAGAAATGGCAAAATTTGGAAAAACATTAAAAAGTTGGCAAAATGAAATATTTAGCGATGCCATAAACAAAATTAACATGAGTTGTGAAACAAAATTAAGAAAATCAGTTAAATTTCCAGAAGAAAATGATTTAAAATAGTGAGGAACCATATTATTGAGAGACTCGAAACTCTCTCAAACGAATTTGAAATTATTGACGAAACCAGCTTTATAACATTAAGAAACTGTGCGTGCGCCAGATTGACACTATTGTCTGCAAGACGTGGTGGGGAGCCAGCCAGAATGCTTTTAAGGCATTGGCATGATGCCATTCAAAGTGAGTGGTTAAGAAAAAATAAAATTTGCGAGCTAAATGAAGGAGAAAAATTTTTTAGCCAAAACAATGAAAATTGCCTATATGACAGGTAAAGGTGCCAGAAAGTTGGTACCTGTGCTAATACCACCAGATACCATAAAAGCCATTAACATAATTGCTGATAAAAATATAAGAGATTCAGTAGACATAAGTCCTTTTAATAAGTTTTTATTTCCAAGTGGAAAAAAATCAGATGGCCATGTTTCGGGATGGCATGTGCTAAAAGATTTGTAATAGTTTACCATTAAAAAATCCTGAGAAAATTATAGCGACAAACAATAGACACAGAGCCTGCACATTATTTGCTGTAAAAGATGTGGAAAAATCTCAAAGACATTTATTTTATTCGCACATGGGCTACTCTGAAGAAATAAACAAAAATGTGTATCAAGCACAGCTTGCTGTCCAGCATTTAACGAAAACTGAAAAATTTTTTATGGATATTGACGCAGGTAAAAGTAATATAACTAAACTTGTTTTTTTCTCTTTTTTAAATCTTTAAAAATTTTTTTTCGGAAGACAAAAATAAAAATGTCCTTTCTACATTCATTTTTCTTAAAACGGATTTTAATTGAAATTTGTAATGTTTTATAGCTTAATCAACTTCTGATGCAGAAGACGAAGATAACATTGTTCAAACTAAAAACATAACCGGTACAAATGAATTATATAATAAATATTAAAAATACCACTAGCAAATATGGCTTGTTAACAAACAATAAAAATAAAATACACAAAAAAAAACCCAACTAATTACAAACATGTAAGCTCATTAGTTATAAAAATAACTTATACTTTTACAGCAAGAAAAATAATATGAAAAATGTTAGAATGTAAAATAATTCTATAATACTTTGGTAAATTTTTAAACAATGCTATATAGAATTTTATTGTTTTTGAATTTTATTCTAAAGATTCAAATACAATTTATCTACATAAATAGTACTTAACTTAGTTTCTCCAAAATTTGATATGGATAAAGAGTTTTTGCCGTTGATGGCTCTGATGGACACCATTGAATAGAAAAATATGGTCAAATACCCCACAAACTTAGCTCATAGTAATATTTTAATTGTATCAAACACATAGACATAATTTAACAAACAAAATATAATTTAAACCTGCAATTAATTACGTATAAAGAAAAACTTCTCTATATTATTATTTTTCTACTTGTAATTTTAATTTGTATAGAGAAAAAACGTCAACATTCAAGCGAATCAAGTTGTGAAGAAAATGATTGTGTCAAAAATTATGAAACACGTTCAAAGTCTTATGGTAATTATTCAAGAATTTCTCTAAATTAACCATAAATTAATCATACAGTCTTAAAATTACATTTTCTTCAAAACTAAAATTTAAAACTTTTCAAAAAAAAAATTAAACCTAAATTTAATGAAAATATAAAAGTTTTTGTCTCTAAAAACTATAGAGAGTTTATAAAACATAAAAGGATCTGCAATTAATTTTATATAAAACACAAAGTTTTGATATGTTTAACGAGGCGCAAATATTTTTTACTGTGTACTTATACAAGGTGCTGACATTTTCTATAAAGTTTATGCATTTTTATGATCCAGTAAAAATAACAATTTTTTATTGTTAGGCACTCAGATTTAAGAAAACAATTCTCTTGATTATTTGGAAAACGAACAAGAAAACAAGGGTAAAAATGATTTGTTTATTTTTCATTATTTTATTTCAAATCATATCAGGGTTAATTTCAATAAAGCAAAAACATGGTAAAAAATAAAAAATAATAATAAAATAGCTTTCCAAATCATTCCATTTTTTATTTACTTCAAAACATGAGGTTTTATCAAAATCTAATCCATTATAGTCAAGAATAAAGTAATCTATATTTTACTATTTATAAAGAAAAAACGAGATCTTACTCAGCCTGGAGTAAAAAAGACAATCAGCGCCTAAGAGATTGGTTTGCTCCCTTTATAAAGGATGAAGACAACAAATGGCCAGGTAACATGTGCAAAAGATTAGTATGGGTTGAAATCTTAAATAAAGTTGTTATGTAGTGATAAAAAAAAAACATTTTGAACAAAAACTAATAAAGTAAAAAAAACTTTTTAAATGCATATTTAACATTAATTTCATAAGAAACAATTAGAAAACAATATTAAAAAATTTTTTAAAAATTCCTAAAGAACTAATGATTTTTTCTTAGAACGAAAATGTATTAAAAGCTTCATGGAAGAATGTAAAATACCCTTTGGTTATTGGCAAGTGCGCACAAAACTAACTAATGAGCGATTGAAGTTCAGAAAAGAAAAAAAAAAAAGAGAAATTATAGCACGAGATCGGTTAAAAGAAATGAGCCACTAAACAAACAAAACCTTGCTTACTAAAGCATAAAACTTACGAATATAACATGTAATATTTTTATTATACACAATGTCGCTTAGTATATAATTATCTCAAACTTTCCTACTGCAAAATTCTATAATTTAATAAGTAAATTTTTGATGCGAGGCATTTGTAAAATTATTAAAAAAAAAGAAACTTGATTTGTTTTTAAATGTTTAGAAATCTTTTTCCGTTTCTTGCAAAAATTTCAATTTTATAAACATCATAAAAAAAAAATTAAAATCTTGTAAAAAGGCACCTTTTTTATCTATAGTTAAAAAAACCACAGTTTTTATGCAATAAAATCTTAAATACTAGTTTTTTTTTTATAAATGAGCTCTTGTTTTTTATATAATTCTGCTACTTTTGAGTACCAAATTGATCTACTTCAACTTTTTCTTAATTTTATTTAGATATTTCTTAAATTTTATTTTATTTTATTTTTAAATTTTATTTAGATATTTCTTAAAACTGAGTGTTAATTTTTTTGTATAGATATATAAAAAGAATATAATATAAATGCAAGAGCCACTGAAAAGTATACAAAAGAAAAATTAATCACGAGATTTAAAAATGACAAGTTTGGAAAAATAGGTATAACAGATGCAGCAATATTTAAAATTGGATCACAACATTTAAAAAAAGACAAGTCCAAAGAAGATAAAACCATAGAAGTTCTTAATGAAAACCAGTTAAATTTTCAGGTGAAAACCAGTTAAATTTCCGGAAGAAGATGATTTAAAAATAGAGTCATTTAATCGAGAGAATCGAAACTCTCTCAAACCAATTTGAAATTATTGACGAAACCATTTTTATAACATTGAGAAACTGTGCACGCGGCAGGTTGAAGCTATTGTCTGCGAGACGTGGTGGCGAGCCAGCTAGAGTGCTTTTAAGACATCGGAATGATGTCTTAAAAGCACTCTAGCTTTTAAGACATCATTCCAGGAATGCCTAACTTTGAGCATTAACATCTCGTAAGGTCATTACTTGCACATATTTTTCTAAGGTGATGTTTAAAACAACTAAAGTATACATTGATTATATGGAGGAAAAAAATTGTGCATTCATGGTTAAGAGTAAACTATCGAAAATTTGTTTTTGTGGTCAATACGCTTTGTTTGATTACCATAACAACCGCAGACTTAGGTCTGCTATAAAAACTACAAGTTGTTTGGTTTTCTTATACATGCATTTTTGAATATCATATTTTGAATAAAAAGTAATCCAAGAAATATATCTCTATATGCTTTCAAAAAAAACAAAAAATACAATAAATAAAAACGAGTCTGCTATTTTTTGGAGGTGGGATATTCAAGTATAATCATTAAAAATGGCGGCAACGAAACGACAAATAACTTTTTCTTAAACTCATGTAAAATGAATGCAGTGTTACAAGAATGAATGGAATTATGATACACAACTTATGTAAATTTAAGCTTCAGTAAGTTAGAAAGCATTTTTTTTGATTTTTTCAGTTGTCTTTTTCATTTGTTTCATTTGTCTCAATCAAATGCCGTGTTACGATTCAGCCGTGGCGCAGTGGTTAGGGTTCTGGCTCAGAGCCCAGAGGTCCGAGGTTCGACGCTGGCTTTATCCCAACAAGGGACATCGGTACGGGAGAAGGCGTGAACTTCTAGTTAAATGCTCTCCCGCGGTGCTCTGTGATAAGACCGTAAGGACTTTTGGGAGCACCTAAATAACTACAAAAAAAATAAAAATAAAATTCGAAGCAAGAAAAGAAGCTAAAACTAAACATACACTTTTAAAATATAGTGATTTTATTTAATCACCGAGTTTTAGTTGAATAATAACAATAACTAATGGTTAAAATTATGTAGCGTTTTTTTATATTATCGGTTACAAGCATACTCTAGAGACAACTTGAAATTACTTTGATGTTTGCGGCTTGATGAACTTCCATCTGTTTTATACTTTCATGCTTCAATCTATCATCTTTATTTTTTTTTAAATTTGGTATCCGGTTTTTTCGAATAATTTGAATTTTCAAATTATTCGAATAATTTGACTTTTCAAGTTATTCATAGTATTCGATAGCCGGATAATCATTAATGTCAGCTAATTGGAAACCGTAATTTTGACGATATAAATAAAAAAAAAAAAGAATTGTTATTTAAGTGTCTCCTTTCTCTGTTCGATGGTTATAAACTATTGATGACTTCTATACTGTCATTCTCCTCCTCGGCGTCTGCAACTGTCACTTCGGTTTCTTCATCCCTCGCAGCAAAATTATCTAAATCTTCAAGTTCAACTTTATCACTTGAAGTATTGTGCGAATTAACATACTGATTCAACTTACCAAAGTCAAAAACAGGTTGTATCTTCCATTTATTTTCTTGTTCAACTGCTATTAATAGAACAATCCCCTTGCATTTTTATCTTTTTTCACCATGGATGTCATAATGCCGAAATAGCTTGTATAAACGACAACTATATTTACATTTTAAAATCTTTTTCATACATAGCACTAAAAAATTTATATACATATTACTAAATTTCCAAGGCAATAACAATTGTATTTATTGTATTTAATGTATTTACAAATTCCGTGATCAACAAACTCTTAGGCATAACTACGTACAAAATAGCTTGTGACGTGTTTACACTTTTGAACATAGCGATAGGCTTATATCAATGTACAGAGAGTTAGGTTTTGGGTTAGAGATCACTAATGTGTTTTGGCGAACTATTATTAGTGATCTCCTGACTTAGGCTGTTAAATGTTATATGTTAAATTATATTATTAAATATGTTTAACTATATTAAATGTTTTAAATGTTAAAAAATTATGTAGTTCTGTATATATGTATATTCATTATATTTATATATTAAAGAAAACTCGATTTCAAAATTTCGATAACTCAGACATTTAACAAAGTTCCGACATAACGAGAGCTTCGCTGAATTCGGACACCCCTTCAAAACTCGAATACTACTTTATATACCCCTTCAGAGTCCGAGTTAATGGGATTCTACTGTAAAACTGAAATTTTCTTTTTTATTTTTACAGTAGAATTCCATTTTTTAAGAAAATTTCCAATAGAATTCTATTTGATTGTTAGTGCAAATTAAAGACTCATTAAAAGTACACGAGAATACCTAATTTGTTTACATAATAATTGAATAATTAAATACAAAAAAAACAAAAAAAACTATTTTGTTCGTGATCTGTTAACTTTATTTCTATGGCGAATTGCGATACTTTTATCGACTTTTTACAAAAAGTCTGTAGCGTCACATTTTTTGGTTGCAACTCATTTCAACCCCCCTCCCCAACCTTCTGCGGTAGATTTGACAGCAACAACAATAAATGACAAAAATACATTTAAGAAGTTTATTGTTTAAAAGTTTATAGTTAGAAACTATGCTAATACGGATGAAGTCTGCGCTAATGTGGCAGAAAGCCATGTTTTACATAAATCACTATTTTCAAAAGCATTCCATAAATTTGACGCTGAACTTGTTGATAAAACGGGGCGAATATTTTCTATCTAATCGTTAAATTTAAATACTTTGGTTATATGACCCTAAAAAACAGAAAAATTACATATGGTACATTTATGTTCTAATTGGTATCACAGAAAGTGTGAAACTCTTTTAGGTGCCTCAAGAGGTCCATACGATCTTATCTCAGAGCTCCAGGAAAATACTCTTTCTTTAAGTAATTCTTTAATTTAAATTATTTAAAATATTTGGAAGTTTCGACATTAACGCAGGGTTTAGAACTCTGTAAAAATAAAGAGTTAACAATGTAAATACTAGATAAACTTGGACGAAATGTAGTTAAGTTAATTTCCAATGTCTCCAAGTAAGTTTAGTAAAAACTATATAAAGTCTCTATTCAAAGTTCGGGAAACGTCAACGTCATAAAAGATAAAGTAATTTTTGAAGTTATTAATTCCAACTGTTCAGTAAAACATTCATTTTTGAACTAGATTTTTTTGAACTAGATTCATTTTTGATATAGAGCAATTGCTTAAAAGATTGTGTATGCGTGACTCTTGTTGTCACGTGCTCGCTATGCGATTTTTAATATAATTAAACTGGTTGTTATACAATGTAGAACGAGGGTAAGCTAATATATATCAATAAACTTGGCGGACTTTAAAACGGCGCACCCCAAACTCGGTAAACAACGAAAATTTTCGTTACAAAAATTAAAAGTCAATTTTCATTGCCTAATAAATTAAATTAGACTTAAGCACGTTTTCAAGTTTTCTAGTTCAGTTCAGTACACGACAACTTCAAGCAAGATGACTCCTTTGGCAGAATTTATTGAAAG